ATAAACACACAACAGACTCCACTGTTATTTAGTAAACAACAAACTTCATCATTATTTAGTAAACAAACACACAACAAACACTATGGTTATTTAGTAAACAACAACACACACTTTGGTTATTCAGTAAACATAAACACACAACAGACTCCACTGTTATTTAGTAAACAACAAACTCCATCATTATTTAGTAAACAAGTACACAACGTTCAGGTTGCGAGTGAAAAACTGGTTCCAGCCTCGCAGCTACTGGATCATCAATCTTTGGAAAGGTCAAAGGTCGTTTCTAAACTATGTTTATCATCGACAGAAGTGATAAATTCACCCTGAAGGTCAGACCGTGCACTGAGCTGATCTCGGGCTCTGAAGGCCTCAGTTAGTGAGTCAAAGGTCAAATGTCACGACCTCTTCTCTGACGACAACAGTTTCATCTGCAGGACCCCTGGACCAGAACCAGAACCAAAACAGATGTTTTACCCAGAATGCACAGTGGTGGAGGTCTGATGGTTTGGGCTCCTCACAGAGCAGACCAAAGGGTTCTACAGTCAAATGTGAGTCTGACAACTGGTCTGGACTGAACTGGGTCCAGTGATCCTAAACACAGCAGCTGGTCTGCAACAGAACTAATCGGAAATAAAAGAGTCCAGAACCTGAAACTGGCTGAAACCATCAAAGAGCTGAACTAAAACTTCTGTGGGCCAGAACCTCCACATGAGACACAAACAACCAGTTTTTCACACACAACTGTTCAATAAACAATTACACGTTTTTGTGTTCGGTTCGGTTCTGAGTTGACCCGGTTCTCAGTCCCTCGGGAGTCTCGTCACCTCAACCAGGAAGGCGTTCCTCTCCGCGTCGCTCTCGATGGTCTTGATGGCCACATCTTTTCCATTCCAGATGGCCTTGAACACAACGCCGAACGTCCCTCTGCCCACAGCCTGCAGACACACACAGGACGTCAAGACCCGACGAAGGACAACCGAGCCCCGGCCCGGCCCGGCCCGGCCCGGCTCTGCTCCAACCTACCGCTTCGAACAGGATGTCCTCGTACTGGATGTCCTCGAACACCATCGCTTCTGCTCATCCGAACCGAAACCCCGGGAGCAGCTCGGCTGCGGATCCRCAAAAAAAACAATAAAAACTTGTGGAGGAGGAGGAGGACCGATGAGGAAGTGGAGTTCTGCAGCGACTACTACTTAAAACCTTGAGTGACCCTGAACGCATCACCGAGGCGGAAGCGAGGCACTGGTCCGTCGCATGCACGCGCATTTCACAATAAACACGCTCGCGTTTAGAGCGCGTCCTGCTGCGATTGTTGAATTTACGTGATTTTTAATTTGGCTCTTGAACGCATCTCGGCGCTGCTCTAATGAAGATCCTCCAGCAGGGGGCGACAAAACACTCAAAACCTTTCAGCTCCCAGATGTTTGATGAGGAATTGAATAGAATAGAATAGAATAGAATAGAATAGAATAGACACTTGAAAAAAAGCACATAATGGGTGTAAAAATGCACAAAAATAAATGTAAAAATCATTTTGAACATAAAATACGCAGTAGCCTGAACTCCACATTTTGTCTTAAATACAACAACAAAATTCAAAGTGTTTTAATGGAATTTTATGAGGCACAAAGTTGTACAGAAATGTGAACATGAAGGAAAAATGATGCACGGTTTTCAAAACTATTTACAAATAAAGTTTAAAGGGTTTTTTTGTTTTGTGTTTTCATCCCAGAAGTAAAAATAAAAGTGAACATATTACATAAAACAAATAAACACAATTACAAATCCTTTATTTTTCTCAAAATATAAAAGATATTTCAAATTTTATAACCTGCCAGTCGTACCAATAATAATTTATCATCTATAGATCATTGTTTTATTGCACTGCTCTTTAACTTTATTTTATTTTTTTAGAATCACTTTATGGCTTCAACTTTAACCRATTTAATGTGAGTTTATGTGACGTTAAAGAAGACAAACATGACCTTCCACTTTGTTAAATTTATGATTTGTTTCTGAAACACAGTGACGTTTTTCTGCACAGACACAGAAGCTGCAGAAATACTTCAGGAATTAAATATTTGTATGATTTTAACACTGACTTGACAGAAAAATACTGAGTTTATCCCAGGTTCTTCTGATTTTTTTTTTTTTTTTGACGACTCTGTGGTTGTGCAGGCTCATTAAGGAACACAAACCAGCTTTCAGCAGAAGAAGACTGAAGAGATGATGCAGTACCTGTATGGTATAAATCTTGTGCCAGCAGGAACTGAATCTGAATTGCTCAGATTGAATCTGAATGTGCAGAATTTGAAATTGAATGCATTGGTTTGAAAATAAATTTCACTAAATTGAAACTGAATTTAAAGTTTTGTATCTGAATTAATTTGATTTGAAACTGTATTTTGGTTTATTAAAAACTCAGTTTGACTACTTTCACTTTCAGTTCCATAATTCAGATTTTTGTGTCACATCCTGGTCCTTGAGAAAGCCAGGCAGAGTAATCAAACACAGATCCACAGATTTATGTTTCACTTTGGAGAAGTCATGGATCACATATTGATCAGATGCTGCTGCTGACTGATCCATGATGTCATCATGTAAATGTAACATTTTCTACATAT